TTTTCTCACAGATTTCATGAAAATGCTCTAGTAACTAGTGGTTTTGAATCGGGATAGAGCTGTCTCCCCAGAAAAAGGACACTAACACAGATTTTTGTCTGCAATTTCAAAACATTCTCAGAGAAGTCCACACATCCTCTACTTTCACCTTTCTTGGGCTTTTGGTGCCACCATCTCCACATCAACAAGTCTCAGCATCATTCTTCACTAACCGACCCCAGTGTTCCCACATAGCTCCTCTCTGTGTTCCCTGGGTCTATCAATCCACTTGTATTATAACACCTGAAATAACTATGTCTTTATTTCCCCATAAGACAGAAAGCTACAAGAGAGAAGGAATTACATACCTTCTTCATTGTGATCTCCCAAGCACATAAATACTTCATCATTCAGTGTTAACTTTAAAAATAAGTCTCTGGGCAGACCCCAGGTTTTATTTAAAAAGGTAGAAACTGATTCTATTTCAGAACTAAACCCAAATTTCTCAGACAAAGATTCAGGCTTAAAAGACCACCCTCCAAACACAAATGGCCCATAAAAGTTAACAGTTAAGACATCAAACAGGCAAGAACTGAGGGGCTGGTTTGAGAAACTCCCTATGAATTGGAACTTGGGGGAGGTTATTATTCACACTGCTATTTTGGAAGCGAATCTTTAACCTGGCCATCAATCATAACTTGCCTGTAACAAATTTCATACTATGCTATAGCCTGGCAAAACTAAACCTTCTTCTGTTCAAATTCTCTCTTCACTTTCAATTACCAATTTCAGTTGTGTTCTCTGAAAGGGGAATTGATGTAGCACACATATTTGCGTTTACTAAGGAAACCATTCAACCACTTTGGAAAGGCACAGAACAAGGTGGCCAACAAAAATAATAAATGCAAACTCCAGCTTGTGGCTGCAGTTAGTCTCTCATCTTACAGCCCCCAACAGAGAAGGTTATTGCTTAAACAGAGAGTGTTCGTAGATTTAAAAGGAACCTCTGTAGCCAGTAAGCCATCATTTCTATGTACGTAGATTCATGGTGGCACAAAGCCCTGTGTACCTGTGCACATGTTTCCCACAGCTCCTTTTGTATCCAATGGCCCATCACTGGAGTTACAGTCACTGTTAATTTATTAAGCACAAATATCCATTTGGCACAAAGTGCTCTCCTAGGCACTGTGGGAAATACAAATAAGGGTGAGACATAGCACAGCCCCTCCTTTCAAGGGCTCAGAATCTACAAGGAGAAGAAGTGCACATAAATTATGATAATGTACAGCATTATCATGTATGTAATATATGTGATAAATATATAAGAGACATGAGTGGGTCAGCCCATGAGTGTTAAAAGGAAGTCAGATGGTTTCCGATTGGAGCGATCAAGGAAAGGTCTCATCAAAGTGGGGGTGTTGCTGGATGATGGGCAGAATTTAGATAAATAGCCAGGGGGAAGGATTCCAGATGTAGAAAGTAGCATCTGCCAAGAAGGAAAATGTGACTCAAGTTCTTTAAGGACAGGATTTTAGGAAACCATGGCAAAAAGACTGGAAAATTAGGCTAGAAGCAAACTGTGTAGCCCCCCTAAAAACAACTGAGAACTTTCTACTTGAGAGATAACAGGGAGCTGCTACTCTAAGGTTTTGAGTAGGGGAGTGATGTGATAAAAAACAATACTAAAGTCAATGGACTTAAAATACCATTATCTACACTGAGAAAGTAAAATGAGCTAGAATTAGAGAGACCAAAAGTGAGAATGTTATAGTAATAATCTAAAAGAGAAAAGCAGAACTTTGGTTATGGTACAAAGACTGATGAGGTGGGAAGATCTGAAGAGGCTTCTTTAACAATGGTTTCTGGTGTCTCATTCAGCTCCCAAATGTGTGAAATGAGTTTAATAACTAACAAACAGCATTGTACTGCGCTGAAAGTGTTATCAATGAAGAAAATGCCAGAGGAAAATGACCTCTTCTCCCCAGCATATTTCCTTTTCATTGCAGAGTACTTTTGTCAACTGATTACATGTTTTAAATCTAAATAGAAATTCCTAGCCTGCTCCTGATGAGACCTTAATTATATAACCTGAGCCAGGTGCTCGATTACTAGTACTTATCTCCAAATGTGGTATTTCAGAAGACTGCTTCAGCTGATGTAGTCTGGTTTGGCTTTTAGCAAATCTCACTTGGTTTTCCTGACTAGTAAAACCACACTACTTTACCGGTTTTCTCCAGATGTAAGAAGATTCACGAAGCCTTTCCTAGAGGCCATGGTGCTCACTCTCCATCTTCAGCCTTGTTTGCAGAAGGAGGCAGACTGAACCTCCAAAATCTCACATGTAAATGCAGCTTTAAGAATTATTTTAAGAACAGAAAAGAACAGAATCAAAATTCTCATCTGTTATAAGCATACAAACACAGTCAAACACAAACAACTTTTCTACAAATTTTCCATACGCTTCATGTGAGTTTTTATAGACACTGTATCTTTACTAGGCTGCAAAAACTAGATCACAAAGCCAGAAAAGCTGCATTAAATTCTAAGATGGAAGAACTCCAGAGATGTTCTAGGAGTGGGAATGAGACTGATTTACTCTCTCTGACAGATTTGCTATTCACGTGCGGATGGTTACATAATCGACTTGCTGATGGGGCCCTAGATCTCCATCTTCTTTCAGATGTTCCAGATTCAAGGCCTTTACCTTCTATCTTACTGGAGATGTGATGTCCACTTGCTAAGAGAGTGTCTCGGAAATTATCTTTAAAATTTATCACCCAGCACTTAGGGCGAACTCAGCCGATGTGATTTGCTTTTGGACCCCAGAACCTAGAGAGTTTCCCTTCCCCAGCCTCCAAAGCCTCTGGCTTGGACTGAAATCCCCACCTCTGGATTTCACAACCTCAGGGGAGCACACTTCCCAAGAGACCCCATTAAGCTGTGCCAAAATAGGCTCAAGAGGAGGGTTTATCAAGCAGTTCCAATCAGCTTCAGCTCATTTGTGGTCTGAGCAGAGACAGAGGGCAGGTTAGGAGTCAGTGGAGGTGGTGACAATCAGGAACATGGTGGCTCCAAGTTGAGAGCAGCCTGCAGGCTGGCAGAGGGAACCAGGAAAACCGGGACAGGTCCCAAAAGACGAATAGTAGTGAATACCCAAACTGGCAAACTCGTGATTCTGTGGCTGGGCCCTGGTAGCAAACTATATAAAAGTGGAAGATGAGGGGAGGGCAGGGAAGTAGGAGGGTCCCCCTGCTTGAGAAAGCTCAACTAGAAGTTGAGGTTCCCAGGAAGCTCAAAGGCACCTCCCAATTCAGTGCAGAAAAGCTATCTCTAGCTTCTCACCTTTTTTCCCTGCTCCCAGAAAGCTGCTTCTGGGGCACTTAATGACTTCCTCTTTCCCTCTAGATTCATTTTTACCTGATTCCTGCTAAAGGGTGTGGGGGAGGAGGTATTAACACATGGGAATGACTGTTGCCTGGCAGTAAGGATGAAGTTTCCTTTCCACTTTACCCTGAATCAGCTCCTACAAAGCACCCGCAAACTTAAAAGTCAGCTCAAAACACAAATGTTCCTGTTTATTAATTTACAAATTTATTTTATTCATTCATTCATTTAGGTGTGTGCAGATAATTTCCCGCAGCCATCCCTACATTTCCCAAGCACACTGGTAGAAAGATGGGCATCCCCTATCCTTCTACCAGAACTCAGTAGGTTCATTTCTCATACCCCAGATTTAAACTGCCCACAGTGTTGAACGCAAAGCCAAATATTCCCAAGCCCTATAGCACACGTCACCCACTTTCCCATTAACACTAAATTAAAACGCATCCATGGATTTCCTCTCCATTCCGAGGCAAGAAGAGTGCATGGCACATTGCCCTACTCCCCTGAAGCTCTTCGCTAACCTAAGACTCCAAGGTGAGGAAGTTAGCTGGAGCTTTTTTTTTTTTTTTGAGACGGAGTTTCCCTCTTCTTACCGCGGCTGGAGTGCAATAGCGCGATCTAGGCTCACCGCAACCTCCGCCTCCTAGGTTCAAGCAGTTCTTCTGCCTCAGCCTCCTGAGTAGCTGGGACTACAGGCGTGCGCCACCATGCCCAGCTAATTTTTGTATTTTTAGTAGAGACGGGGTTTCACCATGTTGACCAGGATGGTCTCGATCTCTTGACCTCGTGATCCAGCCGCCTCGGCGTCCCAAAATGCTGGGATTATAGGCGTAAGCCACCGCGCCCGGCCAGCTGGAGCATTTTAAAGTGCATCTCCAAAGATAATTTTGCTCACACCATGAGAGCCCCCAAGAAACACCAGGGCCCCCTTAGATGCCAGAGACCACGCCCTCCAGCAATAAGCTGCACCTTCTGCCCAGCAGAGCCTTGCGCGAGTATCCCTCTTTCCCTGGGGCTAATCAAGTGCATGCCACATGTCACCACTCTCAGCTGGCAACTCTTCCTCAGAGGCGCAGACTTTCTCGGAATCCCCAGCAGGGGGGTGAGTAGGAGATTCAGGAAAGGCCCAGCCCGTGCCTTCCACAAAAGTCGCTTTAGCGTGGCTCGTGCCCTGCGGCCTCGGGGGGTAGCCTGGGACGTCTAGTGGGAGGGTATAGAGGCTCCTTCCACGACAAGCTGCCAGCCTCCCAGTCCCTGGTCGTGAGCAACCAAATGAGAGGCAAAGTTCTGGGTGTGAGAAAGTAGCAAACTAGTCTGCGGCCAAACTTTCTCTCTGTAGCCTCCTACACCGAAAAGAGTTTGATTGGAACTCTGCAAGCCCGGACGCAGAAGGTGCTCGGGCTCCAGTCGCCGCGAGGGCGCCCAGCGCCTGGAGATGGGACAGTCGGTTCTCCCCGGCGCGTGCCCAGACGCCATCCCCGCGCCGCATCACCCCCACCCTCAGGCTGCGAAAGACGAGTTCTGCGCAAACAAAGGGCGCCCCCGGCACCTCCCTCTATCCCGAACGAAGGGTCCCAGTGGCGACTCCGCGGTTCTTTGGTGCCCAGTTGAGGAGGCAGCCACGCCTCCAATCCTACCTGGGAAGCTGCGGCTGGGCGGAACGCGCAGCAGCAGCAGCAGCAGAGGTGGCAGCAGCAGCAGCGCGGGCTGGTGTGCGGGGCTCCCCATAGCGAGTGGGTGAGCAGCTCGCCACGGCAGCGCAGTGCGCTTCCAAGGGGCGGGAGGAGACCAAAGAGACCAGGGACTGCGTGTTAGCGGGCGGGCGAAGGCCGGGCTAGAAAACTCCTCCTTTCGCCTCTTTCCCTCCCTCCTTCCCGCCTGGGGCCTGCCCTCCTTTCTCCGCCCCCCTGGAAAACTGCGCGGTTCGGGGCTCTGACCCACCCATCTCCTCCTTTTGTGCCAGCGCTTTTTCTGGCCAGAGAGCGCTGGAGACATGCCCCAGCAGAGCGAAATATCCAGGAGTATCTTTCTTTGCTCCAATTTGAGCGCCCCCTCACCCAGAATACACACAGACGGGTGGCTCAACCGCCTCGAACATCCCAAACGTCTAGAAGTGTACCATCTGTGCAGAAAGCTGCGTGAGTCACGCGGAAACAGAAGGGGCAACCGAGGGAATTCAGAGTGGCCCACTGCAGCCGGTTACTACGGCCACATTCTCTGGTTTGAAGTTCGCTATTACCGTGTACACTTTCTCCAAGAAGAAACCAACGCTTAGAAACTTGCCCAGGTTCACCCTCATTACTGGCATAGCAGGGACTGGAACTTAGGTGTGTAGTTCTGCCGACGTCAAAGTCCATACTACAGTTTTGTTGTTGTTGTTGTTGTTGTTGTTAGTTTGTTTCTCTTTTGCAAGGGAATAAATCAAGGACTGAACTGATGTGTGCCTGCTGTGCTGCGGTTTAGGATGGGCCTTGAGGTTCTCCTTCCAGGATCAGCTGATGGGAGAGCACAAGGCACAGAAAGTTCTGTCTCACCCACAGCCTTGGGGATCCAGCTGTAGGTTCCTGCAGCTAGATCTCCTCATTTCCTAGGTTGTTCTCAACCACCCCAAAGACACCATGACCAGACTGGAGCCTCCACCCTGTGGCTTGGCATTGCTGGATCCTAGCATCAGGATAGGGTTTCTAGGCTGCCCTCAGGACAGGTCTGGTTTCTTTGAGGCATTTGAGAAAGCCTGTCATGGTTTTGTTTGTTTGTTTGTTGTTTTGGCTGTTTTTGTCCTTGTTCAATCAGTGAGGCAGTAGGTTGCCCCTTTGCTGTCTGAGGAAGATCTTAGCTAAGGCAAATTTTAGTGGTGTTGCTGCATTAGGTTGTGCAGATTGGGCACCGTACAAAGGAATCCGGAGGAAGGGGCAAGTGGGAGGGAAAATCCAGACACCTCTGGGTTCAGGGAGCTTTGTATCTTGGCAGGGGCCACATCCACTGTGGAAGGACACCTTTCTCTCTGCCACAATAGTCTTGTCTGATAGCTAGGCTACGAGCCCTGGGAGCACTCACCAAGAAGTTTTGAATTTGCTTATCCAGAAGGAGTGCTGTTTCCCAATTCTCACAAAAGCCCCAAACTTGAACTTCCATCTTACCCTCCCTAGCAATTGGGGGGACTTTTCTCCATCTCCTGTGGGTTTCTCCATTGCTGCTACCTCTTCAGGGGACCAACAACCCTTAAATAACTCCCCAGTCACAGGAAAATGGGGAGATCAGGCTCTTCTGTGGCCGCCATCAGACCAGACTCTCCAAGGAGTTATTCTCAACTTTGTATACGTGGGTCACCTGGGGAGCTTCATGAAAATACCACATCCAGGCTCTGCCTCACACTAATGAAATCAGAATCTTTAGGGATGTAACCTGGAGTTTGACCAGATGCATATTTTTGTTTCTCCCCAGCCCCCTAAGCTCCGTGGTATAAGTTTTAGTATAGGATAAAAATTCTAAACCAGAGTTTCTCATCTTGGGCAGTATTGATATTTGGGACTAGATCATTCTTTCTTGGGGAGGAGGGCTGCTTTGCACATTGAGAGAGGCATTGATGGCCTCTATGCAACAGATATCAGTAGCAATTCCCCATTCCCCAGTTGTGACAACCAAAAAATGTCTACAGACATTGACAAATGTCCCCCAGGGGAAAAATGCCCCCAGTAGAGAACTACTTTTTTAGGTTCATAAACAAGAATTAATGTGCACCCCAAATTCCAGGTCCAGGTTAACCTGGCCAGCAGCCTTCTTTTCCTATGTCACCTCTGAAGCAACGTGTCTTAACCATGACCAGTATACATTCTATTACTGTGCTGAGGAAATTCTAGCTCTCTCCTATCCACTGATTCTGTCTGAATTACAAGAAACACTACACTTACTGTTGAGTTGCTCTTTGGCCTTTGAATGTCCTCACCACAAAGAAATGAATCAGAAATGGATGAGGTGATGATCACACTAAATACTGACTTGAGACCAGGTGCAGTGGCTCATGCCTGTAATCCCAGCACTTTGGGAGGCTAAGGCAGGTAGATCACTTCAGGTCAGGAGTTTGAGACCAGCCTGACCAATATGGTGAAACCCCATCTCTACTAAAAAGACAAAAATTAGTTACGAGTGGTGGCGCACACCTGTAGTCCCAGCTACTCAGGAGGCTGAGGCAGGAGAATCGCTTGAACGTGGAAGGCGGAGGTTGCAGTGAGCCAAGATGGTGCCACTGCACTCCAGCCTGGATAACAGAGCTAGACTCCTTCTCAAAGAAAGAATACAAAAACTGCCTTTTTTTTTCTTTCTTTTTTATTTTATAGGATCTTACTCTGAATTTGAATTTGTTTTTATTGCAGCCTTGGACATTTGTGTTCAAGTGATTCTCCTGCCTCAGATTCGTGAGTAGCTAGGACTACAGGCATGTGCCACCATGGCCAGCTAATTTTTTTTTTGTAGCAATGGGGTTTCATAAATATGTACATTTACAATGTGTCCATTAAAAATAAAAATAAACAAAAGTAAAAGGCATGAAGAAACATCTCAATATAATGTTTATAGAGCAAATTAACATTTGCTGTTTTCATTGTGCAAGGATATCTTGAAAGATAGATCCAAGCTCAGTTGCCTCCTGTATTAATAAATCGAAATAACTCTTTCATTTTTACCTAACAAAGATAAACAGGAGAGAACAAGGTGGTATTATTACCTAGTGGGAATACTAAAAGGAATGCCATTGTTTTGAAAATGTACAAGGTATATAAATCACGTAGATTAGAGTAACAGGGCACACAATTAGATGTAATATTGGGAAACCATTATTTTTCCTTGACAAGCTTGAAGTGTTCAATATAAACCCTGGGGAGAACTAATATGAACAAGAAAAACTAAAATAAGAGTCTGGAGTAAGAAAAAACAGTTAGTCTTTTGCTCTCTTGACTACAGTATAGAGAAAATTCCAATGGGACTTTTCTTTTTCTTATTAATTTCATTCCAGGTTTCTCTCTAGTAGAAGAGATGAGGGTAGAGGGAAGCTGGAGGGAGGGGTTGTCAATTTACCCCACAATATCTTGGAAGACACTCAGGCAGTTAAACAGATTCGTAATCTGTCAAATAACTTATGGGTTAATGAGTTGATGAAAACAAAGAGTAGTCACTAAGGGAGTGCCACAGAGCTATGACACCATTCTTATCCCGCTTGATATTACTATTTATGAACTAGAAAAAGATTTTTTGGCATAGATATGAAGATAGGACGGCAAGAAACAGGTTTCAAACATCTCTCTAGGCAGGCATGCTGTATTGACTTGAAACATTAAAAGATAGCAAGGATAAATATGATGTCCTATGTTAGATCTCAAAAACCAATCACACATGAAGAATCTAAGAATCCTTAGAAAGCCAAATAGTCTCCCCATTCCATCAGGCTCATCTGTGCAAAGAAGTGCATATAAGGTGTTTATTCAGCATTGCTCATAGTAACAAAAGGTTGGTGACATTTTTGTAAATATAAATATCTGTTAATGGGGAATCATTTTATGAACTATGCATACCTATGTGACAGAATTCTATGTGGCCATTAAAAAGAATGAACAAGATGCACATGAATCAATAGGAAAGATACTCTCAGATATTTTGTTTAATAAAATAACAAGCAAAATAATACACATATCTTGCTAACAATTTGTGATATGGGGAAGGCATGATGCTATATCAGGGTATGGGGAAGTCAAGAGTAGGAGAAATAATTATTACTATACTATCCTTTGTACTGTTTAAATGTGTAAGCACGTGATGATATTTCTTATTTAAATTAAATAAATGATAGACAATGTTTTCTTTTTAAAAAAACAACCACACAGATACAGAGTAGGGGTTGCCAGTAGTGGCTTCACAGTACAACCTGTGACAGTATAGCCTATTTGCCTATAAGCTAAGATTCCAAGGCACCTCAGGTGCATGCAGACAGTGTCTGTCTTGTCATCTGAAGCATTCCTGAGTACTGGGCAAAGTACCAGAGGTGAGAAGAAGAGAACACAGACATCAAAGTCTGGCAGGAGGAGGGAGGTATCTTTCCACTCTGTGCAGTGCTGTAGTCAACAAAACAGTCTTGTCCCCCGAGTCAGAGCAGAATGAGACCCAGGAGAGAAGGAAGGAAGGAAAAGGATTCTCAGGAGTCATCCCCCAACACACGCTTTTTTCCTTGAACTTGTCGACTCAGAGATTGCATTGAAAAGACCCTGGCAGCCATCTATGTACTGCAAGAGAGGTATTTTCTGAGAAAGAATCAAAGCCTCCTTATGCCCCTCCCATTTTCCCATGCCTCCTCATTCTCCCAGCCCTCTCAAGCTGTTGCCAGAAAAGAGATTCCCCCAGAATGGGTTCTTGAATCTTGAGGAGGAAAGAGTTAAAGGCAAGTCTCAAAGTACAGTGAGAAGACACAGTTTATTAAAATCTACTCAGTTACAGATTCGTGTGTCCCCAGAAATCAAGAAGAGGAATGCCTCGTCTTTGTTTTAAGTTTTTCTTATTTAGGGGTCTTATCTATGTAAAACCTAAGTTATGTCTACATGTGGGTGGGCTGAAAGTTGACAAATTTATGATTTTGCTGATTTAAATAAAGCTATCCTTGACACTTAGGATGCCAAGGATAAATACATCATAAATACATCATAATTGGCATAAATACATCAAAGCATAACTATAAATACATCAAAGCATAAATAAATAAATACATCATAACTGGCATAAGTACATCAAAGCATAACTATAATGAAGTTGGAAGCATACATTGTTATGGATATTGAGACATATGGACACTCTGTTGTTGTAGGAGTGTGTCCTTGCAGATATCACTAAGCTGTTTCCTTAAATGTAAACATCTTATGACCACGGGTCA